GATTCTTCATATGTTTGTGACATAAATTTATGCTACTGCTTCAAATTAATTGTGGATTCTTCATATGTTTGTGACATAAATTTATGCTACTGCTTTAAATTAATTGTGGATTCTTCATATGTTTGTGACATAAATTTATCCTACTGCTTGAATGCTTTATTTAATATTCCTTAATACTACTGAATCAATGTTAGTTCATTCAGGAGCTAATGGTTGAGTTAGCCGGGCTTCTTTGGAGTTTATACAGAGAGTTTCTTGGACATTTTTGGATTGGTGGCATATTATCAACAGGGACAACTAAGGTGAAAGTAGGTAGCAACCAATCTCATTAAATTATAGTTATACTTGTTTGGTGGGGCATTTGTGAGCAAAGTGAATTAACTAAAATACATTGTAGATGTGTACTTCTCAGGGTGAACAAAGCAAGGATCAAAAACCAGTTGAGTTGCAAATGATATATGCATATCTATAATAAAAGGTTCATGGAATTCATGTGCACAATTTTTTTATTAATAAATTTCCTGATCATAATTTATGGCCAGATGATAAGAGCACTAAAGCGCCTTCATGACATGTCTACTGGCCCGGTGAGGAAGCATCATGACAAGGTCTCTAGAAGTTTGGTAGAAGTCTTTAAAGAACATGGTATGTGTTGTGTGATCTTGTAGGGTATTGTAGAACACTTTGCACCCAGACTGCTCTTCCATAGGTGTTTCAAATGGAGGTGACCAGATGAACAACCCCCCAATGGTACATCAGAAATCGTGCATCATTTGAATATTAAGCATATATTTACATGTCAATGTAATGAATCTCTAACTACAATTATCTTAAGCAAAATTGATTAACGAAGCTTATTGCAAAGCTCCTATTCAGTTGCAGTGTTCTGGGCATAAGAGCCTGGAAACAGCTAGCACATCTTAAAGGCAGTTTGTTCGGTTTCATTTGGGAAAAGGATTAGTCAGAGGCTCCTCCATAGAGAGGAGAATGTAGAGCTAGAAGTGAACAGCCCAACATGGAGAGCTAGATTATATGTTCCTTTGGCCTGTGCCTCTGTGTTTTACTCTCTTTGTCAGGGAAGATGGCAATTGCAAATATGCGCACGTCTACGTACACATGCGCAGACACATTCTTGTTTTCTTGTACTCCGATGATTTCTGGGAGGCACCCAGTGCCCTTGGTTTCTCATATCAGCTCTCAGTAGCGGACAGGGAGAACAGCACCCTTCCCAGAGTTAAAGTAGTTTTCCTGACCAGGCTCAGTGCTTCCAGAGAGCCCTTTCCTCCTTGCACCTAACTTTGAAATCCTCCTACTCAGACCTCACCATGCAAGATCAACTACAAAGAGCTGAGGCTTTGTATTTAGATAGAACTTGTTTTACATTTCAAATGTGCTTGGGTGGTCTTGGCCCAAGATGTTCCCATCCCTGAAGTTGGAATTTCTCCTGTGTACACAAAAAGGAGCCATCCTTCCTCTCCTATCACTGTTGTGAACAGTAAATAAACCCCTACTGCTTAGAGCCAAATGCACAACAGGAGTCCTCCTTCCTTTCAGGCTGGACCCAGGCATTGACCTTGTGGGACATCTCACTGAGGTCTTGGGGTCATCGGGGACCTTTGTATCATCCTTTCACAGGTCATTGCCCTCATTTCTCTGTGAGTCCTGAGGACTTGGGAAATGATTGGCCCTCCTCCTTTGTTAGCTGCTGAGTTAGGGCAGGTGGTAGTGATGGCCACAGGGAGATGGAATGGATGGATGTGAGCCACTCAGAATTGTGGAAATGAAAGGACAATCAGGCAGGCACCTCATCTTCCTCTTTAATGTCATCTGATGAGGGACTTCAGCTGGGAGAATTGATAGAACTGTAGCACTATATTCAATTGGAGAAAGCTCTGCTCCCACGCTTATGGCAAGGGTAATATTGGGAGATTGATTTGGACCTGTCATTGGAGTGAGAGGTGACTGTCAGCGCATATTAAACTAACCCAGAGGAAAGCCCGGGGGTCCATCTGTGCATTTCATTTAGATGACCGTGACAGTATTTAGACACAGACCACTTTTCCAGTAGAGACAGTTCTGGATATATGGGCATATATCATATATATATATATATATATTTAACCCCCTTAATATCTGAACCCTAAAACAAGAGTTATTTTCCTTAGCTAGTCTACATCACTGGTCTCTAAAGTGGAATGTAGCAGATTTCTGAGGTCTATAAAATGCATGGGGAAACAAAGATTCAAACTTTCTGTTTCTAATTTTTATCGTATCCTCATAATTTCCAGTGACCTGTTTTAATATCCACGATAGAGTTGAACAGCAGTTCTCAACCTGTGGGTGACCCCTTTTGGGGTAGAATGACCCTTTCAAAGGAGTTTCCCGATTCATAACAGTAGCAAAATTGTAGTTATGAAGTAGCAATGAAAATAATGTAATGGTTGAGGGGGTCACCACAACATGAGGAACTGTATGAAAGGGTCGCAGCATTAGGGGGGTTGAGAACCATGGCCATAGTACATACATGGATTTAGAAGGCACACATCTAAATGCGGGGCTCAATTTTCATGGTTAGTGAAGGATGGGTGAGTGACTATATCACCATTTCCTTTCCCAGACAGTCATTCTGTACTCGCTGTCCAAAGCTAACTTCAGCATGCTCAAGAGGAAGCAGAGCTCCAGGGTGGAAGCCCAGCCAGTGACGGACTTCGGCCCTGATGAATCCTTGTCAGACAATGCTGACATTCTCTGGATCAACAAGCCAGTAAGTGTCTTTCTATCTTCTTAAAGTATGGAGAAGCATCTGCTGACAGATGGGACAGTCAATCAACGAAATTCAACAACCCAGAGAGCTTTGGTTTTGCAGCATCTCTTTGAGCTCCACTAGCATATGGTCTGGAAGTTGATGAATCAAATGAAATAATGAGGTGTTTCTGGGAGTGACTCCCATGGGCAGGTGCACTGGGTGGTCTTGTTCCTCCTAGCCTCCCTGGGCACCCCTGTCCTCGGTCACCTCGTGTCGAATGCCACTACTTCTCAGGCTCATCCAAAGCTGCAGTTTAAAATAAGTAACTTATTCTGAACCAACTTCCTTTATTGTTAATTCTCAACAGGCATGAATCTGCAAGGAGATGTTTGGAATTAAAGGTCTCCTCCTGAGCTGCATGTTTTGAGTGAAAATAAAGGTTAATGAGGCAGTGGATAGTGTCTCTGAAGAAGTGTGTAACTTCTCGGCCCAATTAAGGTGATGGGAACTTGAGGGGAGACCTGCTACGCATATATCATTATTTATTAGAGTGTCTAGCAGCCAGCATTCAGGAACTATCCAAGGGCTTGTCTTTCCTCTGACAATGACTTCTTAAAACATCCCGCAATTACTCACCTTACCCCCCTGCTTTATAACCGTAGTACAACGGTTCTCAGCCCCTTTGGGGGTTGAACGACCCTTTTACACAGGGGTCGCCTGATTCACAACAGCAGCAAAATGACAGTGATGATGTAGCAATGGAAATCCTGTTATGGTGGGGGGGGGGTCACCACAACCTGAGGAACTGTGTGAAAGGGTAGCGGCAGGAGAAAGGTTGAGAACCACTGCCATAGTAGCATCCCATAGGACTATGCATCCAATGCATAGTAGCTGTGTTGCAAAATGAAAATGTGTTTCTGCTACATTCAAGGATCTTTATACTCTGGCTCTAACCTTCCGGGGAATGCCACCATCCCCCCTTTCTTCTATATCTGGGTCTTTGGCTGCTTACCAAAAGACCAGTGGTTTCTGAACATCCCGGTTAGAAAAGACCTACCCATCTGCTCCAATACAGATGTAATGATTGGTGTGATTGCTGTGTGCCCTAGAAGCACTTGTCTGTCAGTTTGTTATAATGCGTTGGCTTGTGTGTTGCTGTGATGCTGAAAGCTATGTCCCTGGTATTTCATATACCAGCAGGGTTGCCTAAAATGAACAGGGTGAAGTGGAGCTTCCAAACTATGAATGGATGACTGAAAAGAAACAGGCTGTCCACGTCTGAGGACGTTGCCACTGGAAACCTGGTGGATAGCATTGACATATTGTCTGTTATTGAAAACCTAATGAACAGAAGCAGCCTATTCTCAGAGATGGTGCCAGGCGTGCTCCTCAGCCCAGAAAGCAGTCAAAATCCGACTGAGGAAGAGCTGCCTTCTCAAAGCAGAGCCAACCATAATGACGCTGGTGGAGTAAGACCTATGGGAGGAATGACTTCGGGACCTTCATCCACTGATGGAGTGTGACTCAAAATGAGAAGACACAGATGCATAAATCTACTAATAATCACTAAAGCTAGTGATGCAAAAATTGAAGAATGTTACTAATGTCTTCAGTAGAAAATTGAGCAAACATTCAATAAAGATGAATTGAAAATGATTGGCCATTGGAATGCTATAGTTAGAACCAAAGATAGGAGAGAAGAGTATTGGAAAATACAGTCTTGATGATAGAAATGAAGTTGGAAATTGAATGGTAGAATTTGGCAAGACCAATAATGTATTCATAGAAAATTCCCCTTTTCAACAACACCAATGGCAATCATACATGTGGACTTCTCCAGATGGAATATACAGAAATCATATTGACTACATCTTCGGGAAGAGATGATGAAGAAACTCAGTATCAGCAGCTAAAACCAGGCCAGCAGCTGACTGTAGAGCAGACTACCAATTACTCATGTAAGTTTAAGTTGAGTCTGAAGAACATTAATATAAATCCATTAGAACCAAAATACAACCTTGAATCTATCCCACTTAAATTTCAAGAGCATTTCAAAAACAGATTTTCTAGATTGAACATTAATGACTTGATGAGCTGTAGAGTGATATTAGGAACATCATGCATGTGAAATAAAAATGGCATTAAAAGGGCAGGAAAGAAAAGATCAGAGTGAACGTGTCACCTGAGACTCTGAAACTTGCTCTTCATCCGGTGAAGGCACGTGGAAGGAATGGTGACATCAAAGAGCTGAACAGGCACTATCAAAGGACAGCTCCAGAGGAGAAAGTGAAATATAACAACATTTGCAAAAACCCAGGTTTGGAAACAAAAAAAGAAGAACACACCCAGAAAACCCTGAACTAAAAGAACTCAAGAAAAAAAGTCAACCCTAGAATTGTCATCTTGAAAAATTCTATGAACCTACTATTGAATGAGGTAGGAAGCTCAAAGAGAAGATGGAAAGTAGACACAGAATCATTTTATGTGTCAATATCCAACCATTTCAAGATGTAGCATATGAGCAAGAACCAAACGTATTCAAGGAAGACGTTCAAGCTGCACTGAAAGCATTAGCCCAAAACCAGCCCTCACGAATTGATGGAAAATTCAATTTAAATGTTTCAACCAGCTGATAAAGCACTTACTATTCTATGCCAGGAAATTTGAAAGACAGCTATTTGGGCAAATAACTGGAAGAGATCCATATTTGTACCGATTGCAAAGAAATGTGACCCAACAGAAGTCTCAAATTTTAGAACCATATCATTAATATCACATGTAAGTAAAATTTTGCTGAAGATCATTCAACAGTTGCAGCAGTCCATTGACAGGGAGCTGCCCGAGGTTCAGGACGGATTCAGAAAGGATGTGAAACAAGGGATATTATTGCTGATAACAGATAGCTCGTGGCTCACAGCAGAGACTATCAGAAAGATGCTTACTTGTGTTTTATTGACTGTGCCAGTGCTTTAGACTGTGTGGATCATACCACCTGTTGTAAGCCTTGTGAAGAATGGGATGCCCTGGACACTTCACGGTGCTCTTACAGGACTTGTCCATGGATTAATAAACAGTTGTGTGAACAGAATGAGGGACTATTGCATGGTTTAAAATCAGGAATATGCATGTCTGGCTTGTATCCTTTCGTTATACTTATTCAATCTATGCTGAGCAAGCAATCAAAGATGGTTTATATGAAGAAGACTGTGGCATCAGGATCAGAAGAAGGCTGAAGAATAACCATTGCATTTTATTTATAGTGCTAATGAAGACTATTGAATGTCCCATGGGTTGTCAAAAGAACAAATCTGTCTTGGAAAAAGTACAGCTAGAATGTGCCTTAGAGGCAAGGTGGGAGAGTCTTCATAACACTTATTTTGGACGTTTTGTCAAGAGGGACTAGTCCCTGGAGAAGGACACTGTGCTTGATAGAGTTCAGAGCCACAGCAAAGAAAGAGGCAGTCCCTAAGCAAGATGGATTGACACCGTGGCTGCAACCATTGTGAAGCTGGTGCAGGCCTGGGCAGGGTTTCCTCCTGTTATACACAGGGTCCCTATGACTCCAACTGACGGGACCATGCCAAATAACAATGACAACCAGCATCTGCTCTGGTGGAAACGTGAAGGTTGGCGTCATTGCTGGACACCCTACAGTCTATTCCTGCTCAGAATTTGACTTTAAGGCAGCATAGAATTACCCCATGGATGATTTGATACTACAGTTTTATAAAAAGCGATGGCCAGGTCTTTTTTCCTCCAGAGAGACTGGTGGATTCAAACCTCAGGCCTTTTAGTTAGCAACTAGTTCAATCCAGTCATGAGGTTGCCTCTGTAAATAATACCCCAAACCAACCAAGCAAACGAAAATACAAACCCATTGGTGTGGAGGCAAACTCCAGTATAGCATCCCTATACAAGCAAATAGAACTGCCCCCACCCCAGGGTTTCAAAAACTGCAATATGTATGTAAGCAGACTACCACTTCTTCATCCTTTTGAGTGGCTGGTAGATTCCTGCTGCCAGATTCCTGCTAACACACTCAACCATTGTCCCACCAGCTTCAGTAACAATGTTAGTGCCTAGGAAACCCTTTGATATGATCTAGTTTATCCTAGACCCCTGTAGGGTCACGATGAGTCCATGTCAACTTAACGGAACACATCAACATACCTTCCTCACCTGAGCTGCATTAGACAACTTCTAGTTCCTCCAAGATCTTTTCCTTCTTCCTATTATATTCCTTTGCTCATGTTCTCACGAACCCTTTCTCATCCTCTCTGAGGAGTTGAATTCTCCTCAACCATGACAGTCTATGCAGGTGTCACACATGGGCTCCCAATCTGCCTCTGCAGGCCACACACTTCACCCTGTCCACCTCTTCTGAAGCACTGGCTATTCCGTGTTTGTCTACAAAGATAACACGTATACATGTGCACACATAAATATGTTTATGTTCTGCTTACTAGACTGAAGAAAAGCTATGGCATAGAACTGATTTGTCTGTGATTTTCTGATCTGAAGGAAGAGCCCAGCCTGCTTTCTAACACATTCATCCTTAGAAAAATGAATGGAATAAAGATGAAAAACATGCTAACTGTTCTCAGTATCCACTCAGAAATCTACCGCACAGTATCTGTCTTGGAATAACTGCAGCCAGGATGCCCTGAGAGGCAAGCAGGGCCAGATGTCATCTGACGTCCTCTGGAGAGACCAGTCTCCGGGGAGGTGCATCAGGCTTGGTCAAGTGGGAGGGGTGAAAAACAGGAAGCCCCTCAATGGGATGGATTGATGTAGTGCCTAGGCTCGGGCATAGCAACACCTGTAAGGATGGCGAGGGTCGTCTAGTGTTTCGTTCTATTGTGGGTCTCTATGGTCACTATGCGTCAGAACCAAATTGATGGCACCCAGACAACAAGAATTTCCGAAGAAGACGCCAACAGAGATGCCATTTGTGAAGACCAGGGCAGTGCCTGTCTTGTCACCAAGGGGGCGCCCACCTCTTTCACAGCTGCATCATG